GCCTTGGCCGTACAGCAGTATATATAAAATCCACCACAACCAATTAATCCAATGCAGAAAAAAAATCCCACAAGGCATTACATAACAATTCCATCAAAACAAAAGCATCTTTGTTGGGCTCCCCTAATATCCTGACTCTAATGCTTGAGGAAAAAGCCAGGTTTTAACAGCCTTGGAAGAACAATAGAGCCATATGAATCTTGGAGGAAGCTGCTCCTTAGGACAGGCACTGTACGAAAAAGTCATGCTTCCCTGGTTCTGAAAGATGGCACTGTTTGATAGAGGGGACTTGAAGCATGTCCGCCCTGTCAGTTCTGGTGGAATGGGCAGAAACCCTCAGAGATGCATGCCATGTAGTGCTTTAAAGGTGATATCCAGCACCTTGAATTGCATCCACAAGCATAATGGAAGCCTTTGCATCTCGTGCTGCAGTGTATGTTGCACAGGCAAACTTTAAAGCACACAAAACTGCTTGTACTACCACATTCTGCACCAGCTGAAGCTTCCAAGTGTTCTCCAAGAGCAGTCCCATGTAGAGCACATTGCAGTAATCCAACCAGAAAGTGACTAAAGTGTGACAGTGAGCAGAGCCTACCAATACAGGAAGGGGTGCAACTGGCACATAAGATGAATCTCTGCAAATGTTGCTGGTCAGACATAGAATGGCTACAGATAACTATTTTGTGAGTGTTCCAACCCAGTCCATGATGAGTGTTCCATCAGTTTCAGAAGTATAATAGACAAAAGGACTGCAGACAAGACTGTGTACAGTAACTCCAAGCACATTGACCTCTGTTTTCACTTCCAACCAACTGTGTACTGGAGAGAATAGGCAAACTGAAATAAGTCCAAATCATCTGCCTCTTCTATAGTCCTCTGGAGCTGAAGTCCAACCACCCTCTCTACCACCTTCCCTAAAAAGGTAGGTTGGAGACTGGATTGTTGTTGTCCATGACTTTATCTAGATATTTGCTTCTCTGCAGTAGACTCTCAGATTTGCCACAGCTTGATTAGGTTTTTTAAATCATTATTATTGCAAATAAACTCATATTCACATAGAAGATCTGCCTATATAGCAATCAAACTGTACATATAGGTTGATGATCCAGAGTTTAAATTCTAGTGTTCTCCTCCCATCTTTCTGAGTCAATGGATATTTGGCCATTCTGTTCAAGCCTAGAGGCAGCTAACTTATATTGAAATAAAAATTATCTCAGGTCAGGTCATGACTTTGTGTATTTGGCTTGTTGGAATTAGTAGGGTATTTCTTTGATTTTAAAACTGTTTAGCTTATGTTATGGCTCTCACTAATGTCATTATGTATTTCCTGCCTCAAAACATCATTGCTGCTGTCAAAGAGGGCTCCAAGAGTTGTAAAAAGAAGCTCAAGGGCCATATCTCTGGTCCAAGGTATGGAAAGACCATATGTATTGATTATACCCAGAAGAACTCTGAAAATTGGAGTTTAGAAAGCAACTGAAAGACAAAAACTTACACAAGAAAAAGAGAAATATTGGCCAAAGAGTAGTTTTAAATGCATCATTTATTGATTTAGCAAAATTATATTAACTTTGCTTCAATACCAAATATTTTAATTAAAGATCTCAAGTATATGGTCTTATTTAAGTTTGCTACCAACTCACATCTCTTGAATTAAGGTATACTTAGACATGTTAAAAGACAGAATCCAATGCATTGATAAGAGGGTAAGAAACCTAGATACGCTGGCTTCAGCAGTTTGAGAGCTGTCCCTGAATCTTAAAGCAACTCTCCTTTCAGTATTTACAGGGATAAATAAATCCTGGTTAATACTACTTCTCACTTAGTAGCAGCTAGGACTAGTTAACATAACTACCAATTAGTCCTCAAGGAGGATTGGACTGTGCATGGACAGATCACCAGCTTGCCAAAGTACCTACCAAAAACATGTTGAGGTGGCTACAGAAACACCACAGGGAGTAAATTCTGTCTTTGCAGCAAACAAGTACTGTACAAGAAGGTACATTATATTCTGTGTGGAAAAAACAAACTCTGGATCTTTAGGTCTGCTGTTACTGCTTCTAAAACTACTACACTGACAAAGTATTCATGTAAGAATAGTTTAAGAGCTGCAGAAAGTACATCATAAAAACGATTCATACTACACAATGAAATGTGGAGGCTCAGATATTGGTGTTATTACATGGCTAATCAAACCTGGTTACTTGTTCAAATAATATGAAGGGAAAGGACACTATTACACAGGTTTGGGAGGAATGTATGAAGAATGCACTTGTACCTAAGCATTGCTATCTAGTGAAGGCATACAAGAAATGACGATGTTGAAGATGACTCATTCACTACAATGAAGCTGCTGAAAGAAGTGGGTAAGACGATTATGGTTCCTGCATATCTCAGAGGAGAGAACGGAGAATCTTTTCTTTCTGTCCAGGGAAACGGGCACTGAGTAACCTGCTTTCCAGTGAACTCATAACAGGAGCTGAAGGTGCTGGATTTGAGTCATTCACTAAGATGTATCTCCTGAAGAGTACAAGAAAGACTCATTGAAAGAAAGAAAACTAGTCAGTGACCACATTAACTATACTGAAATATTCAGTAAATATAACTTACATTTAAATAAACTGATCATTATTTTTTTAGAGTGAAGCCCCCACCATGCCACTCATGGCCAAATGTGGCCTTAACCAAAGAAAAAAAAGTTCTTAACTACGGTCACTGACCAGAACTCCACAAGTTAACAAAGTAAACAGTTTCTGCTTCAAGTAAAATAAAATACAAAGATAAAATTCTAACTACATCATGGAGGTGATCAAAGCATTTCAGGTTTTACAGACAGTATAACAAATTTTTGCTACGTTCAAGAAAATAGAATCATACGGGTCTGACAAGAGTAGCTGTATGTAAAGAAGTCAGAATTGTTGGGTTACTTCTTCACCAACTGGGAGTTCTGAGATGGGCCCTTGTGTCCTTATAGAAGGTGCAAGGCAATAGAAGACAACAGAACACAGAAAAAAACTACGTGCTCCTACCTTAGCTACTCAAATAAATGTTGCTTTTCATTCTGATGTGTCACACATAATTTCATGTTCATTTAGGTTCAGTTGGCATTACAGAAGTAGTAGAAGTAAAAACCAGGGACAAGGGACATGCCTCAGTTTTTTACCACTGACAATCTATTCTTCCAGAACAAGAGGTCCTTGCATTTTGATTTTACAACTCTTGTGGACCATAAAGCATGGTATTCATTTTCTTTAAGAAGAGCTATTTTGGTATGCTCTCTTTGAAATAACTTTTCAAAAGGAGAGAAGTTTGGGATGTGCGATATATTTATTGTACAAGGATACCCTTGCCAATTCAGTTCCAGTTCAATGCTTGTTTAACTTCTATTGATTTTCATATTTTTACTGTTGCCATGCTCATTTTTCCAATAGAGGAAATATTCAGTAAATCTGTTAACATAGTGAATATGGAAAGTTGTTTTTAAACGTCTGAGAATCTCCATATGACATTAGCTATAGTAGCTCTGAAAAATTCTGCACATCCATGGAAATATCTCATATTATATTAGAGGTGGGAACTATTAAAGATGTCTAAAAACCTTGGGTATAGTGCAGAAGTAAGGATGAAATCTAATAATTCTTATTTTCCCTCTGGACCCATTGATACATCTGTGAAAGCTGGAGGTTGCCCAAAGATCTCTAGATCCTGTTATGTGCTAGCAAGGTGAAAGTAGCATCAGCTTTGGCATTTTTATCAAGGCAAGAAGTCTGGCATTATAGAGAACCAATTCTACCCTTTTGGCAAGTATCCGTAAAACTGATTACTGTAGGGAAATGTAATAAAAATGGTTGCTATCTATCTGCTCAGTTCAGCTTTCCAAATGTTCAGGTTTTAGTAACAATCTTAAAACAGCATTTTTCTAAATAATTCCATAAATAATTCCCCTTTTATTTAAAAATCTATCAAATTTTGAAAATGCATTCAAAGAGCACGCTGAAAAAATTGTTCCCTGTCTTACATGAATCCATGAAATGAAAATGTAATGCTGACACAACCAATACTATTGCTAGCAAAGGAGTATTGGCATGACCGAATCTGTTATCTATTAAATATACCCTTTGTCCGGAATTGATCTGGTTGGTTGCAAAATTTTCTCTTCAAGCAGTCTGCTTATTCTTTGTTCCTTTCTGAATTTCAGTTTGGGATGATAAAGTTTTATGTTCAGATCTTGGGTGGTTGGTGTCCCCCAGGCCAGCCTATGAATATAATGGATTACACTGAATTAAATATATATTCTTTAAGGACAAAAAAAAATGCATGTCAATTTAATACAATCTGAGCGTTTGAATATTATGCAATCCTATGTCCACTTCTATTGGGACATACTTCCAAACAAACATGAATAGGTTTAGGCACTGAGGCTTTCAACATGCATTTTGTCTTCTGTAGGATGACAAAAGACATTCCAAAGAAGGCCTGCTAGTTGCCATACTTTGTTTATAATTTATAAGAGCCAGATGCCGTCATCTTCCCACTGCAACCATCATGTATTTTCAAACCTCTTCCACCTTTTTCATAACCCCAAAACTTAGTTAAAGTGTAAGTGTTGGAAGTCTGAATCCAGTGGCACTGACTCTTCAGCACTCCGTAACCTACTGACCACAAAGTGCACTGGGGACGTCTATGTAGGTTTATTCTGTGTCCCTCTGTGTCTGTTCTTTGCTAAGCTCAGGTAATTTCCTTCTGTGTTTCTTCCCAGGCAAACACACAAAGAGCACATACTCTGGGATTCTTTACATGGTAGGAAATAGCTAGCTAAGTGCTGGTCTTTGTCTTTATAATGTTTTTCTTGTAAAACAATATCCTTTCAGTTAGAATTATAAAGCCTGCTTCACTAAGCCTGGCTCAGGAGAGATTCCTGCTCTCAGAAACACTCATACTAACACAGAGAATGCTTCTACCTGCAACAGGAAGTGTCTGTGTTGTCATCTGTTTCTTTAAACCTGGCTTAATGTACATTTAAACAAAGAATCACCAACTTGACCAGCTTCAGAACATTTTAATACACATAAAACCTCATATAATTGCAGACAGTGAAGATGGTTCCTGTTTCTTTTTCATCTTTCCAAAATAAAAACATTTTAAAAAATTAAATAAGTATCCCAGCAGTGCAGTTATACAGAAAATAGCAGTGTAAACAAGAATAAATAATAAAAATAAAGTAGAAGTATTGTTTCCAAAGTTTATTAGAGCCAAGGGTACAAAAAGGTATTAACAAAATAATACAAAGCACAATTATTTATGAAGAAAAAGCCAACAAAGCTGAGTTTCATTATAAAAGAAGTTTGTTAAGGAATTCCTTATCAAACAGAACAAACCCTTTTCTCCTTAATTATTTTTCTTGGTGAATCCTAGAAGGATTTCTGTGTAATCTAGATGGACAGGAAAAGCTGAGGTATGCCCTGCAGATGTTAAAGTAGGATAGAATCACTCCAAATCCCCCAAATTTACTCAAAGACAAAACTACCCAAAAAGAAGGATGAAAAGGCAAAATGAAATTTTAAATTGAGTGCTGCACCATACATGGAATAACTGATTCTATTCTAATTGCAGGGAGATTAAATTTTAATATGACAGAATGAGAGCAAGATATTTTAAACCATACCAAGAGGAATTCGTTAAAAAACAAACTGACATTTTTAAAGGATTTATTTATTACTTATTTACTTACTTACTTACTTACTTACTTACCTGTAAGGAAAGTCCCTAGGAAGGTTAATGGTAGTTTCTTCCATCACAGTATATGGGCGACCGTGATATTGTTTGTAAGGCTTCATCCAAGTAAACAATGATTCAGGAACAATGTCAAAATATTCTAATGTTTTATCTAGGTAACCAGGAGTAAAGAGAAAGAAATCTGAATGTTTCATATCATCATTTGTTAAACTTACATTCTTTTTTTAAACTGACCTTACATTCAACAAACTTTCTTAGTGTTGGTTTCCTTCAGTTATAAGGCTGTTTTCTATGTATTCACAGATATTGTAAAGTGTAACTTCTGATATCAAGCTATATAAATTTGATACAACAGAGCAGTTCTATGCATACCTGCTCACAACTAAGCCCAAGTTCAATGGAAGTTATTCCCACTGAATGATGAGGAAGAATAAGATTGCAATTTAAGATACACAGTGCTTATATTTATCTACTTTGATAATTACAATCCAGTTATGAATATTTTCCTGCTAGAAGATTTACCTAATACCTACTTTGACCTGTCTTTTCACTATCAGGCATAGACATATTCAGTATGTTTTTCCCCTTCATAAGTGATTCTTAATAGTATACTGCTTTTATTAACTCTTTCTTCTTTTTATTGAATGATTGGTTTATTAAATTGCTGATTTTGTACATTTGATACTAGAAAAGGTTTTACTGATTTGTGCAATATGTGGATGAAAATAAATAAAAGCATTTACTATTTATTCCCTACTGTATTCAAGGCTGGAAATTAATCATAGCATTCAGAAGGTGTCCTACTCTTTTGAGACAGGATTTTTAAAAATTACAGAATTATTTAATAGGCTTATAGGCTGCTCTTATCAAAGTAGATTCTCAGTGGCATACATACTTGGTACAGCAAACAGATTACAACAATACCCAAAACTAAAAACCAAAATACACCAGATTTACAGACATTACAGGAAGGAAAAAGAAAACATACCGAGTCCAAAAGGCATGCCAGAAAAGCCAGATCTTTACAGCTTTTTGAAAATTCAGGGATGTAGGGGTCAATGTAATCTCTACAGAAATGTGGTTCAAGAAATAGAGGCAGTAACTGAGAAAGCCCTACTCCAAGGACCTGCAGATGGCACTCTCTAAGAGAAGATCCTCTCTCTTCCTTATCTTTATGGATGGGCAGAAACTACTATGAGTAGACAGTCTGAAAATACCCCGATTCTAAGCCATAAAGGGCTTTAAAGCTGAAACGAGCACCTTGAATTGCACCCAGAAGCAAATGTAACTAGTGCAACTTCACAGTAAGTGGCATTAAAAAAATGATCTGATTAAAACCCATAACTGCCCACGCTGTTGCATTCTGGACAGCTGAAGCTTCTGAGAAGTCTTCAAGGCCAGCCTGTCAGCCCCATTATGTAGAGCAAACTAAGAAATCAACTCCACAGGAAGACGAAAACTATTTTTGTTAAGATTGGCTATAGTAACAGAACCTTGCAAGTCTGACCGTGCTTTAGCTCCCCCACCCCAAGTTATTAAAAAAATGACTTCCGACCTTCTCTTCAACAGATATTAGCAAACCTATCATCTCTTCTCTCTCTTAACTCTTCCAGAAATCCCTTCAACCCCTCATTTAATTCTCATCTGTTTCAGTCATTAAGTCCATAAACTATCATTTTGGGTTTTTTCTTCTTTTAGCAAAAAGTCCATAAAAGGTTTCCAGTCTTTTAAAAAAAAAAAACACTTGTTTTCTCCCTGACCAAACAGGTCAATTTTGCCATTTCCACTAGTTCTAATGTTTTTACGATCCATTCCTCCATTGTGAGAATTTAAATACCTTTGTATTTCAAAAAACTTTGTAACTTCCTATTTCATTTCTCTATCAACTCTGTCATCCCTTTGTTTACCAAAGCCAACCAAAGCCAGCCAAACCTCTCTCAGCAATCCAAAACAACATTTTTTCCCCATAAAGGTATGTTTTGTTTATTTATTTACTTTGGCTCCTTTTACTTGTTTAATTAGCAAGTCTCAAATTCAGCTGGTACCTTAGTCCATTTTTAACTTTCTAGTCCAAATCCTCAGACAGCTTTTTGCTTTTAATTTCTTTCTTACTGTTTTTAACCCTTAATTTTTATTTCTTTCCATGAGTTAAAGGTCCACTTAACAGGTTGGGATTAGCCTCTTTGTTGAACTGAAGGTCTCTTTTGTCAGTAGATTCTTTTTGCATTACAAAAAAGGTGCTTAAGAAGTAGACTCAGCAATCCCAGTGTCCCTTACTGGTCTCCAACTGAGGTTCGGAGCTTGTTCTCTTCTGTGGCTCCCAGTGCAAAAGACAGCGCAGATGGGCAATCTTGCAGCTTCTCCTTTGCCCAGGGAAGCACTGTTCACTCAGGTGTAAAACTTGGCTGCTGGCTAGATCCTCATTGTTGTCTCTGCCATTAGGCAAAGCGGCGTTATCTCACCATTGTTCTACCGGAAGCCCGCCCAAGGCATGAGTGCTAGCAAGCAGGAAAGGTTGTAACTGACATGCAAAGGACCTCCTAGCCACAGCTGCCACTTGCTCATCCAACTAATTTTGCCCAAGGCAGTGTGACCCCATCCAGAATTAAAGATGGAATGTCTATGGAATCATAAGGGTTTTGCACTCACAGCTATTCTATCTTAATAGAATTGAACCTAAACCTGTCCATCTCTATCCAGACCCTAACAGCCTCCAGGCACCAGGAAAGCATCCACCTCCTCTTTGGCCAGCAATTGAGACATAGAGCTGAATATCATATACTGTGCTTTTCTACCTTCTTGAATGTCAAGAGAGAGAAGTCAAGGATCAGGGCCCTCAACTGTGGTATTCTAGAATTTTTGACACTTTCTCCCTTCCTATTTAACATGCACATGAAGCCACTGAATAAGGTCATCAGTTGGTACAGAATCAGATATCATTAGTATAC